TGCCGAATACGTTCTATGCGGTCCCAATCAGCCTGAACTGCAACCATAATCAACATTACGCTTAAGACTACAACCAAAGTGTTCATTTTTATTTAGTAAGTTGTCTGTTTGAATGCTTGTGATTAATTGCAATATATCTGGAAAATTACATAATAATCTTTTAATTAATTAAATTACTTATTTTCCTTTGATTCTATACAAATGAAAATTGTTGTATAAAGGAGGATGTTCAATTTGATCATAGCGTGCATCAGAAAAGTATTACTTGATAATTAACTTACATTATGTTAAAATTCAAGTAATATGGCCAGGTGATATCTTGGTTGGCGGCACTAACCAATTCTTTTGGCAATTTTTAATAACTTAAACAATTATCACACAGGAATGTTAAACGTTAATTATAATTCGGAATATGTAGCAAAAAATTAAAATTTTTGAATGATAATGCTACAATACGTTTACTATTGTTATTTTAAGAATTGTAAATGATTTTGATAAAATTAGTTTGATTAATTTGTTATATTCGTATAATATATACGTAGAAAAGCATTATCCAATTGAAATATAATTACTCTCATACCTATAACATTAGTTCCATAAAGTTAACATTATCCATAGACTTAACATTGTCCGTAAGATTAGCATTAGTTTCATAGGATTAGAATTATTCATAGACTTATCACTACTCGTGTTAAAGTATAGCCATATACTTAAGTTTATATCCTATGTTAATTCTCCATAGAGTCAAGAACCCCATGTTATAGTATAGCCATAGATTTAAGCTGTAATCTCATGTTAAATCCCATATAGTGGGGGCGAGAGGGAAGCGGACGATCATAAGCTACATTCAACTTATAAACTACATTTATCATATATGAATTTCTGCTACCATTTATATCTTATAATTAACAACAAGAAATTATGATCATTTTTCAATTCTGACTCATCGGTTAAATTCCTTTCGGTTAAAATTGATTTAATTAATTTAAATCATATTGGGGCATTATTTATACAATATAATATAGATTTTAATAGACAAAAGTTTTGCTAAAAACAATAATTTCACTATTTGTTATATATGTTACTAATGACCTAGGTCTCTCTAATTGTTGTTCAAGTTTATGAATTTTAAATATAATCAAAATATTTTTTGTGAATAAACAAAATCCTTTTTAATACACAGAATGCAATCCATATTTAACCCATATGTAGCATTAAGTTGCGTACACAAGTCACGTCTTAGTTAATTTTTTTGCTTGAATTAATAGTGTTTGACATACAGGAAATTTAATATTATACAGCTGGGAAGGTAACATCATATATAAAGTGTATGTGTATATTACATGTGTATAATATACTACAGTTTTTAATAATGAAGAAACCGGTGCTAAAACGGGACAAAAACATTATCTCGAAAGACATGAGCTCGACGGAAATGAGCTCGAAAGACATCAGTTTGAAACAAGGATCACACGCGATGCTATGCGTTAACCACTATTCGGGAAATGCATCAAAGATTTTAAATTTTTCAATACTTTTGTTAGAATACTTTTACTATTGTTATTTTAAAATTTTTAAATGTTTTTGACAACAATTAGTTTGATTTATTATGTCAAATTCATTTAGTATATCTCCATAGAAAAAGCATTATTCCATTGAAATTACATTACTTCCATAGGACTAACATTACCCATAGATTTAACTTTACCCATAGACTTAGCATTGCCATAGACTTAGCATTACCCATGTTATTCTTATGTCATAGACTCAACATTACCCATAGACTTAGCATTGCCATAGACTTAGCATTACTCATAGATTTATCATTGCCATAGACTTAACATTACCCATAGACTTAGCATTGCCATAGACTTAGCATTATCCATGTTATCCCTATGCCATAGACTTATCATTACTCATGTTATAGTATAGCCATAGACTTAGCATTACCCATGGACAGCGTTACCATAGACCTAGCATTACCCATGTTAATCCTATGCCATAGACTTAGCATTATCCATGTTAATCCTATGCCATAGACTTAGCATTGCCCATGTTAATCTTATGTCATAGACTTAAGCTGTAATCCCATAGAAACCCATGTTAAAGCGTCTCCATGTTAGTCCTATGAGAGCTTTCCCATGTTAAAGTATAGCCATAGACTTAAGCTGGAATCCTATGTTAAATCCCATAGAGCGGGGGGGCGGCGGGGGAAGGGGTAGCCGAACGATCCTATAAACCACATTATTCATATCAGAATAGTGGTTAAAAATATATATTAATTAGTCTTAATCATGTAAAATTGTTGGAAATAACTAATATTATTAGCAATTTAGCTAATTAGAGCTGATTTTATAATGCTCAAGCTAATAACTTATAATAATATTAATAATATATATTATAATTAGTATTATATTTATTTTTAACCACAAGTCAGCTATGAACAATATTGTTTATAGGATCGTTAGACTACCCCTCTCCCCTATCGCTCTTCCATGGGATATAACATGTGATTTCAGCGTAAGTCTGTGGCTATACTATAACATAGGGTTTATGTTATCCTATGGGTAATGTTATCATATAGTAATAATGTTAAGTCGTTGGCATAGATGTAATATGGATAATGGTAATTCTGTGGAAATGTTAATCATATGGGAACAATCTTCAAAATGTTTCTATGGGATTACAAATTAAGTCTATGACATAGTTTTAACATGGGTAATGCTAATTTTATGGACATTCAATGGAACTAATGCTAATTCTACGGATAGAGTTGAATCTATGTCACTAATTTAAAGTCTATGGATAATGTATTATTTGAAAATCACTCGAATTGTGGCTAACGTATAGCATCTCTGTCTGGGCTTTATTTAGTTTTAAGTTTCTTTTGTCGAGTTAGTGTCTTTCGAGATCATGTTTTGCGAGCTGATGTCATACTCCCGCTAAAACAGTGTCTTGACTTGCACTGCAGCCCTAGTTTCCCTGCATTACACACCAAAGTGATTGTCGTATGAAAGTACAGTAAACTTTTACTAGGCTAATTCCTATTTTATGGACTTTTAATAAAAATGGCCGCCGAGTTGATATTTGAATAGCCCTTGGTCAGTAGTACCGAGATATGGTTACCAAAGTTTGCGGAAACAATTCGTTTTCAAAATAATCGGGATCAAAGTTGTGATTTTCCCATTGAAACCCATTGTAAAAATAATTTTTATATACAGTTGTTCCGGAGATAAAACTTATATATACAGTTGTTCCGGAGATAAGACATATACATGTTTTGTATATGTGTATATTGTTAGGTTAAGTTAAGTTAGGTTAAGTTAAGTTTGGTTAGGTTAGGTTAAGTTAGGTTAGGTTAGGTTAGGTGTAAAAAAGACAATTATGTTTATAATGGGTTTCAATGGGAAAATCACAACTTTGATCCCGATTATTTTGAAAACGAATTGTTTCCGCAAACTTTGGTAACCATATCTCGGTACTACTGACCAAGGGCTATTCAAATATTCACTCGGCGGCCATTTTTATTAAAAGTCCATAAAATAGGAAAAGGCCTTTTACTATATCGAGTGAAACTTAATGTTTTATTTTAACCTCAATATGAATTGAATATGATATTCACAAATTACTTATAAAATTAAAATTATAATATTTTGGATGTTTTTTGTTTTGTATTAGTAATTAAAGAAATCATAATTTTGAGTTTCAGTTTTGTTTTGGTTTGCAAAACAAGTTTTGGTAGTTTTGCAAAATCAGTTTTGTTTTACCAAAATAACGATTGTAAAATTATTAATTTAGTAAAATGTCCGTATTAAATAATTATTTGACCCTGATATAACAGTGAATGAATTGTATATTGATATTACGTTTGAAAATAAGATCTCACAATTTGGTCAACGATTGTCACAATTACCAGAATTACGAGAATTAAGAATTAATACAATTCATGGAAACGAGTTTAGCCATCAATTAGTGTCTCATTATTTGCTGGCAATTGGCGTTCATTGCAAACAATTGCAACGATTGGCACTCGCATTGAACATCTGGTTAATAGAAAATAATAACGAGTTATTGGAATCATTGAAATCGTGTTCGCAATTAAAACGATTGCATTTAACACTCTTAATAGCCATCGATATCGAGTCGTTGGAACCGTTGAGACATTGCCACCGATTAACACATTTAACACTTGATTTATCCGATAATAAAATTAATTTCCTTCAAAATTGTGCCGAATATTGTCCGCGACTTCAATACCTATCGATTCGTACAACAGATTACTTAATAAAATCCGATTCTTTGGATCACATCTCAAGACTACCTGCGCTGCAAATGCTTGTCATTCACTGCTATCTCGCCGTTAACCAAATGGACAGTGACTTCGAAGGCCTGTTATCCACAAATGCTAAGCTGAAGACCATTGAAATCCATGAAAATAGAGTTTCAAAGTTATATTACCGCAAAAATGGCAAATATATTGCCATATTTATTGGGCATAAATTGCGGTAATAGTGTATGAATTGTAACTGATCTTAATTATACAATTCGCAAAAGTGCCTCAGTTCCCAATTTAACAATACAATCTCAGTTAATCATCAACATTTTCTCTCTCTCTCTCTCTCTCTCTCTCGATTGAAAAATAATACCTTTTGACTAAATATTGTATTAATTAATGAACTTTTTTGTGTTAAAAATGTATGAAAATAGTGTTGAAATGATTGCGTTATAAGCATTGCATAACAATAATTACACTTATATACAGTCAACTTTTGGTACAAATGCATGAAATATACAAAACATCATATCGTGTGATTATTATTGACAACTGACCATGGTTAGTGGTGATGGTGTCCATTCTGGCATTCACGCTGATAATTCCTCGCTAATCCTTGTAATCCATTAGCAGATTAGCTCAAATAACTTGTACATGAAAAACGTGTATAGACTGTACTGTAGTTTATGTGGAGTTTGTATTGAAAACATAAACAATCGTTTACTTCACGTGATTATCAAATGTTGTGATGTTTTCATTGATTTCATACCAATTGATGGCAATTATCTGCCAATCGGTGGTCACTTGACTTGTATGGTGTGAATGTGTCGACAGATCCTAAGATATGACACAATTAATGAAACACTCGATGACATCACTCGCGACCACAGATGACGACAATGAAGATAAGAGACAACAGGTATTTCACTAACGATTGAATGGAAAGCTTAATATTGTTGTCTTTATTAGGGTTTGCATTGAATATCAAGACATTTATTGCGTTAAACTTTAATTGTTTATTGAGTTAATTGTTTTTGTATCACATTTTAGTCACGAGTCTATGCGAAGAACTCAATGGACAGATTCGGTGATGATTTGTGTGCACTTCTGTTGTCTTACTTTCCACTTGAAGACCGATTCCGTTACGAATGTGTGTCCAAACAGTTCCAGAGGACACTCTTCGAGAGTGTTGTGGACATTACTATTAATGACACACTTTTATGTAAAGCCGCGCGAAATTATAGAGAATCTCAATCTTTGGCCACAATTGCCATAAAGTGTCCAAACATTGAAAGCATTGACTGCCGAGGAATAAACAAAATATATGTACATATTTTTCCCCATTTGCTGAACACATTTCAAGACAATTGTCGTTATTTACGGCATATTTACTGCGATTTGATGCCAGAAAACGAAGAATGGATCCATACTTACGGACCACTTATAACAAGAATGACAATTAAAGGACTCCACGCCAGCCATCACTCGCTGTCCGACTCTTTGCGTACAATTGGTGTGAATTGCAAACAATTGCAACGATTGTCACTCGTATTGAACTTCCGGTCGAATAACAATCACATGAATTTAATGCAATCTTTGCAATTGTGTTCACAATTAAAACGATTGCATTTAACACTCCGTACAGCCATTGATTTCAAGTCGTTGGAACCGTTGAGACATTGCCACCGATTAACACATTTAACACTTGATTTACCAAAAAATACAATTAATTTCCTTCAAAATTGTGCCGAATATTGTCCGCGACTTCAATACCTATCGATTCGTACCAATGATTACATAACAAAAACCGATTGTTTGGATCACATCTCAAGACTACCGGCGCTTAAAATGCTTGTCATTCACTGCTATCTAACCATTAATCTAAATAATAATTACTTCGAAGGCCTGTTATCTATAAATTTAAGACTAAAGAACATTGAAATCCATGAAACAAATGTTTCAACGTTTTATTACCGCAAAATGTCACAAATATATTACCGTATTTCTCGGCATAAATTGACCCATAATAGTGTGTGAATTCTAACTGATCATAATCATACAATTCGTAGTCGTGTGACACTTCCCAAACTGACCGAACGATTCTATAAACCACATTCTTCATCAAATAAATTGTGGTTAAAAATGATATATTTTGACGAAATATTTTATTAATTTTATATTTATTAATAAACTTTTTTTCTAATTGCAAACAATTTAATAAACTTTTTTTGTGTTAAAAATGTATGAAAATAGTGTTTAAATGATTGCGTTATAAGCATTGCATAACAATAATTACACTTATATACAGTCAACTTTTGGTACAAATGCATGAAATATACAAAACATCATATCGTGTGATTATTATTGACCAAGTGACCATGGTAAGTGGTGATGGTGTCCACACTATAATAGCATTCACGCTGATAATTCCTCGCTAATCCTTGTAATCCATTAGCAGATTAGCTCAAATAAGTTGTACATAAAAAACGTGTATAGACTGTAGTGTAGTCTATGTTAAGTTTCGCATCAAAACAAAAACATTCGTTTACTTCACGTGAATATCAAATGTTGTGATGTTTTCATTGATTTCATACCAATTGATGGCAATTATCTGCCAATCGGTGGTCACTTGACTTGTATAGTGTAAGTCTATCAGACATTATCATCACTCGCGCGCACTCCCGAAGACTCACCACTTACTGGTCCATCGAGTGATGGACAACACTCGGGAGCCGATAGTCATCGATGGTATAGAAGTGCACTTCCCGTACAAACCATACGGTTTACAACTGGATTACATGCGGTCTATGATTAGGTGCTGTCAACAGGTATTGTCACCGCAAAGACATTGTTGACTATATGTATGTTTTGGGCCACTAATTGTCTTCTCATTCTTCCACATCCAGAAACAGAATGGACTGTTGGAGTCGCCGACGGGTACGGGAAAGACGTTATGCATACTGTGCTCGTCGTTGGCGTGGATTCGCTACCAACGACTTCTTCTTCATAAGCCCACTCCTCGGGACCCGTTTGACGACATATTAAGTCAATTCTTAGACGAGTTGTGGAATCCAGTGGTGGAAACGGCGACCACTTCGGCGGCCATTCAACGCTTAGACGAGATGTGGAATCCAGTGGTGGAAACGGCGACCACGACTTCGGCGGCCATTAGTATCGAGCAAAAGCCAGTCGTGTTTGACACTGATATCGTTAATATGAAAGAAGAGTGTTTTGACGTTCAGGTGTTTGACAATCATTTCGACAATTCTTTCGATGAGCATCTGGTGGTGAAGACAATAGACGAGACGAATGAGTCGCTTATGACCAGTGATGACGATTCAATGATTACCAACGATGACAGTAAACCAGAGGTTATAACTATTGAAGACAGTCCACCAGAAGTGAGTTCACAAGTTATAACCATTGATGACAGTCCGCCGGAAGTGGTTCCAGAAGTTGAGGCCGAGATCGGCAGTAATGATGGCCGGGAGCCACAGATTGTGTACACGAGTCGAACGCATTCCCAGTTATCGCAAAGTTGTCGCCAATTGAAACAAACGGAGTATCGGACGGAACCGGCGGTTGTGATGGCGTCGCGGGAACAGCTGTGTCTGTGTCCGCAGGTGCAGAGCCAGTCGGGGCCGTCGATGCAGAGCCAGATGTGCTCCAAACTGACCAAAAACGACGAATGCCAATACTATCCTAACATTCAGGGAAAAGTGGACAGAAATATTGAGACATACTATAAGTCGCGGAACGGCTGCAAAGTGATGGACATCGAAGATCTGGTGGACTTCGGGCGCCGACACGAGTGCTGTCCGTATTACGCGGCCCGCAAACTGGCCGACAAGGCGTCGGTGCTATTTATGCCGTATAACTATGTGATTGAGCCGCGGATACGACACGCGATGAAATTGACCAAAGCGTTGAGAGTGAAGAACTCTGTGATTGTCTTTGATGAGGGACATAATATCGAGGACAGGTTCGCGGACGCGATGTCCACACACATCAGCGGCCAAACGCTGGACACTTGTATCAAACAATTGCATTCAATTGGCGAATGGATGCAACGGACGCCCGAAGAGAAAGTGAACGATAGGTTCAAATGTGACGCCCAATACAATATCAATCGGGTGCTCGAGTTGTCCTCAAAGCTCTGCGAACTCCAGAAGCTTATATTTGC